TACCACTTTTAAATGGTCTGGACATTGGTGAATGATTTCCTGCTAGGTAGATTGTACCAGCCATTTTCCCAAAACAAGAATCCATTTAAATATCTAAAACATCACTTTTGATGATACACGTGACAAGCAAGATTGGAAAAACCGCAAAAACAACAAAGGAGCTTTTACAAACGTAATATCATATCCAACAATATTGCAAAAAACGACATCGAAAAGATTCGAGCACAGGACACAGTTGACATAGTACTCGGATCTACCTGAAGCATTCGTAAGTGTATGGCTTCATTAGCCTTTTTGGGTACAGCCATCATAACATCGAGGCCTTCGGACAGCTCACCAGCCGAGGATTTGTCACAGCATTCGCGAATCTCGCGTAGCAAAAGCTGGTACTTCGTGATTCTTTGAACGGGCTTGATGAGAAAAGACTGGAGTGGCTCACTCAGCTGATAACGCAGCTGGAGACGCCCAAAGAAGTTCTCTGTGTCACCTACAAGGATTTGCATAGAATCTTCTTTGTTGACACAGTATTCCACGTAGAGACCCGCCAGTCGGTCGCCAAAGGAGACGAAACAGTGACCCACGTCCTCAGGCAGAAAGTCACCACCACTAGCGTACTTACAAATCTCAGGTTCGAAGATCTTCTCATGGAAGTGGTAGATCTCCTCAATATTACCAAAAACAATGTTTTCCTTGCCGGATATATATGAGGGAACCTGAAATTATCAAGCAACAATGAAGTGAATGTTGAAATGTCTAAACGACGAAATTTATGGGATAGTCAGAGAAATGACACCAATAGGCATTGGCATTGCCTACGCTTGCACTTGATACGCAAAACTTAAATGATAACATTCACAGGAAGGATAAGCATGGGAAAGAGCTCAGATCACGGGCTGGAGGACCAAGGGCACAAAGAGGTAGGAGGTAGAGCTATATAAAGTTAAGAGAAGGAGGACATGCTGATATTACCATTCGTGATAACGAATAAGCCCAACTTTTCGACAGCGTGGATGAAATAAAAGGGTTGCTGTCGTATCGAAAGCGAGACAAACACCCGAATCAGCCGCATCATGACGCAAGCTTGCTACAATCACAAATAGTCTGGCTAGACGATCATGAATGCCATACAATGACGTTACAAACCATTTTGACAAAAGACCATCCACTAAGTAAGGCGAGGCATTATTTAATGAATAGCCACTTGACTGTACACTTTGGTGTGAAGCATTGCATAAATTTGAACAATTTAAAGTCATCAACACGGACTTGTGTCCGTAGTCTGGCAGTAAGTGTAGTAAAACAAGGAGATCGGTCATAGCACCAGTAAACGGATTGGACTAGAATGAAAAGCCGAAATCGCTCTCAAAGATCCAAGATCTGGGAAGTTAATGATATGTGAACATCTGATAAGAAACCGACGTGATTGTAATCGCCCATGCAGAAAAGTGGAGTGAGAGGAACAGACTTAAGGAAGGTAAGATATACCCAATACTTGTTTCATCGATTGGTGGTACGCGAAGTTGTCAGATAAAGGAAAGCTTTTAATCTGGTAAAGTTACCATTCACAGACTGTGGAACCAGATTGCATTAGACTGTCGTGTGGAAAACAGCACTTGGCGCGTTCACTGTCTGTCCGTCGTCACACCAAACATACACGCGCGCATTCACGCCCGGTTACGTTCGATTGATTCCCTACACGAATGCTGCCTTTGTGCATAGACATTATGCAGCGCTGTGACATCGCAAGACTGTCCTATTTCTAAGGCCAACAAGACTACATGAAACTCCGTTAATGCTACACTGGTAGGGATTGCTGAGTTTAGGCCAAGAGATAATCTGAATGAAGTGGTGAAACTACTAATAACATATGGGTCTTCCAGTGTTACAAATGGAAACAAGTAAATTTCGGCTAGACCTGCAATGAAGACCAAAAAACTATTTTATTCTGATCAGTTAAAATGGATTACTTAAACCACCCTAGAAACAATGGTTCGAAGCGCATAAGGCAAAGCAGGTAAGCCAAGAAAATGGGTTAAAAATTAACGTCATGGATGTAGTGCCTGCGAAAGCCAATTCAAACGTATCCTGAGGGTATACAACGTAGCGAAATTAACAAGAAGGCTAGAGACAATGACTAGGTAGAATTGGCGACGTGAGCCACAGAAAGACCTAAAAACTTTCCATGGTACAATCTCAATCCGACTGAATTTGAAAGGAAGAGAGAGAAAGAGAACCTACAGAAAGTTTTTCAATGAAATAGTCACCTATCAAGTGCTCCTGACTAGTCAGTATCATCTTCATACAAAACAGAATTCCTTGTGATGGGTGGACATCCGTGCACATTGGTTGTTGACACAATGCTGCCAAACCAGGCACCGCTATCTCGTCTTTCAGCGCACCCTCCACTTGTTGTAGTATGATATTTAAGTACAAATTGAACAAATTGGCTTTGACGTTTGGAGTCGAAATCTTTGGTTAGGAGGGCAATGAAG